CCCCGCTGCCAGCCTGGTTGCCCCTAACTGCCCCCCCTGCCGGCCTAGTCGCCCCACGCAGCCTGCTGTTAGGTTGTTTGGTCGCCCCTCACTGCCCCCGCTGCTGGCCTGGTTGCCCCACGCAGCCTGCTGTTTGGTTGTTGTGTGAGGGCGTCCCAACCAATTTGCATATTACCCTTTTATTAGTATAGACTAGGGGCCCAGTGCACGAAATTTGTGCACTGGGAAGGTCCATCAGCCCAGCCTGCCCCCTTTCACATACTGGGAGCCCTCAGGGGATGTTCTACTGACAGCTTAGGCCCACTCCCTGCTCCCCTTGGGGAACGGGCCTAAGTTGCAGTCTGGCCTCCCTTTGTGGGAGGTGACCGGGCTGATCAGGGGAAGGCACCAGCCCCATCACCCCACTGCTGCAGCCACTGCCAGTCACCACAGCCACCAAGGTGTTTTCATCAACACAGACTCCAGTCCCTTCACCATGAAAAAATGACAACTTTCTTTAGGCATTTTCAAGATGTGTCTTTCATAGGATATGACATTTCTTTCTCTTTTTTTCATCCTCACCTGAGGATATGTTTCCAGACTTTTAGAGAATGTGGAAGAGAAAGGGAAAGAGAGAGAGAAACATCAAAGTGAGAGGAACACTTTGATTAATTGCCTCCTGCATGAGCCCTGACCTGGGCCCCAGCCAGGGAGGAGCCTGCAACCTAGGTACATGCTCCGATGGCCGGCTCCGCCCCTGCCCAGGCCTAAAGCCTCTGGCCGAGGCTTTAGGCTTGAGCAGGGGTCCCCTCGACTCCGATCGCAGGCTCGGCCCTGCCCAGGAGCCCCCTGGCTCAGGCCCTTCCTAGGCTGCTCAGAGCCCACACGGGGCCTACCTCAGAGTGACCTCAGTGCCGATGATGTTCCCAGGACCCATCTTTGTTGGGTTAATTTGCATAGTCACTCTGATTGGCTGGTGGGTATAGCGGAGTGACACCAATTTGCATGTTTGTCTATTATTAGGTAAGATGATAAAGGGAACAATATAACAAGAAGATATAACCCTTGTATTTATGCAGCCAACATATGAACACCTAAATGTTTAAAGCAAATCTTGATGGAAATAAAGGGAGAGACTGACAGTAATACAGTCATAGTACGGTGTTTTAACATCTCATTGACATCAATGGATAGATATTCTAGATCAGGGGTCCTCAAACTACGGCCCGCAGGCCACATGCAAATACAAATATTGTATTTGTTCCCGTTTTGTTTTTTTACTTCAAAATAAGATATGTGCCCTGACCAGTTTGGCTCAGTGGATAGAGCATCGGCCTGGGGACTCAAGGGTCCCAGGTTCGATTCCAGTCAAGGGCATGTGCCTTGGTTGTGGGCACATCCCCGGTGGGGGGTGTGCAGGAGGCAGCTGATCAATGTTTCTCTCTCATCGATGTTTCTAACTCTCTGTCCCTCTCCCTTCCTCTCTGTAAAAAATCAATAAAATATATTTTTTTAAAAAAATAAGATATGTGCAGTGTGCATAGGAATTTGTTCATAGTTTTTTTTAAACTATAGTCCGGCCCTCCAACGGTCTGAGGGACAGTGAACTGGCCCCCTGTTTAAAAAGTTTGAGGACCCCTGTTCTAGATAGAAAATCAACAAAGGAATGGTGGCATTAAGTGACACACTAGATCAGATAAATTTAATTGATATCTTCAGAGCATTTCACCCTAAAGCAGCAGTATATACATTCTTTTCAAGTGCAATAAATACATATCTACCAATATGTGATCAATGGATCATTTTCTAGGACAGACTACATGTTAGGACACAAAACAAGTCCCAATAAATTTAAGAAGATTGAAATCATATCAAGCATCTTTTTTGACCAAAGTGGCATGAAACCAGAAATCAATCACAAGAAAAAAACTGAAAAACACACTCAGACACAGAGGCTAAATAACATGTTATTAAATAATGAATGGGTTAACAATGAGAACAAGGAGGAAATCAAAAGATATCTTGAAACAAATGAAAATGAGAAAATAACCTGAAATCTATGGGACACAGTAAAAGCAGTCCTAAGAAGGAAATTCATAGCATTACAGTTCTATCTCAAGAAACAAGAAAAAATCTCAAATAAACAACCTGACTTTATACTTAACGGAACTGGAAAAAGAACAAAAAACAAAGCCCAAAATGATTAGAAGGAAGGTAATATAACAATCAGAGCAGAAGTAAACAAAATAAAGTCCAAAAAACAATACAAAATATCAATGAGCCCTGGCCAGTGCTGCTCAGTTGTTAGTGTGTTGGCCCATGCACCACCAAAGAGTTGTGGGTTCAATTCCCAATCAAGGGCACGTACCTGGGTTTCAGATTCATTTCTAGGTCCCAGTCCAGGTGTGTGCAGAAGACAACCAATTGACCTTCCTTCCTTCCTTCCTTCCTTCCTTCCTTCCTTCCTTCCTTCCTTCCTCTCTCCTTTCTCTCTCTCTCTTTCTCTCTCTCTCTCTCTCTCTCTCTCTCTCTCTCTCTCTCTCTCTCTCTCCTGTTCTCCCTCCCTCCTTCCCACTCTATCTAAAAGGAATGGGAAAATACCCTCAGGTGATTATTTTTTAAAAAATATATTTTATTGATTTTTTTACAGAGAGGAAGGAAGAAGGATAGAGAGTTAGAAACATCGATGAGAGAGAAACATCGATCAGCTGCCTCCTGCACACCCCCTACTGGGGATGTGCCCACAACCAAGGTACATGCCCTTGACCGGAATCGAACCTGGGCCCCTTCAGTCCGCAGGCCGATGCTCTATCCACTGAGCCAAACCGGTTAGGGCAGGTGATTATTTTTTACAAAATCAATGAAACCAAGAGCTGGTTCTTAGAAAAGATAAACAAGATTGAGAACCTTTAACCAGACTCATCAAGAAAAAAAAGAGAGAGGACCTAAATAAATAAAATCAGAAATAAAAGAAAAGAAGCAACAACTGATATCAAAGACATGCAAAGGATTATTAAGAAAATGTTATGAAGAACTGAAGAACTATATGCCAACAAATTGGACAATCAGGGAGAAAGGATCAATTCCTAGAAACATATAATCTTCCAAAACTGAATCAGGAAGAATTAGAGAATCTGAATAGACAAAGTACAACTAGTGAAATAATATTTTTAAGAAGCTCCCAACAAATAAAAGTCCTGGACCAGATGGCTTCACAAGTGAATTTTACCAAACATTCAAAGAACTAGCGTCCATCCTTCTCAAACTATTCCAACAATTCAAGAGGAGGAAAGACACCCACACTCATTTTCCAAGGCCAGCATTATCCTAATTCTAAAATGAGATAAAGACACTAAAAAGAAAAAAAATTATAGGCCAACATCCCTGATGAACATAAATGCTAAAATCTTCAACAAAATATTAGCAAACCTGATCCAGCAATATATTAAACAGATCATACACCACGATTAAGTGGGATTTATGCCGGGGATGCAAGGTTGGTTCAAAATCCGAAAATCAATAAATGTGATTACATCACATAAAATGGAGTATAAAAACCACATTATTGAAGGGGTTGGAGGTAGGAGGTAAAAGAAGCCTAATATATGGTGATGGAAGAAGATATGACTTGGGTGGTGGGTACACAGTGTGATATACAGGTATTATATCATAGAAATCTACCTTTTTAATCAATGTCACTCTGCTGACATCTCAGCAGATCTCAGACTTCTAGCCTCCAGAACTGTGAGACAGTACATTTCTGTTTAAGCCACTGGGTTTGTGGTACTTTGTTACAGCAGCCTTAACAAACTAAACATCTACAAAATTACAAATACATTACCTTTTGACCCAACCATCTAATTCTGGAATTTTATTCAATAGATCTGATATGTACACACACACACACACACACACATACACAGATTCATTAAAGCATAGTTTGCAGAAAGGAGTTGAAACAATCAACAGGGTAAAAGCTAAATAAACAATGGTATTTATATTCACAGAGGAGAATCTATGCAGCTGCAAAAAGAAAAAAAAACATCAAGAACAAACTTTCTAACTAGGGATTCAGAAAGATGAAAGATCATCACGTCTATACTGTTAACTAAAAAAAGTAGCAGAGTACAGAACAGTGTAACAGATATTTATGTAAGGAGAAGGGAAAAAAAGACCAATACATACATACATACATACATACATATTTGCTTCTATTTGCATAAAGTAACACTGATGGCAGTGGTTTCCTGGTTTCCAAACTTGTCTGCATCTTGCAATCACCTGAGGAGGTTCGAAAACTCATACTCCCAGGGACTGCAATCTAATTTGTCTAGGGCAATGGTTCTCAACCTTCCTAAAACCCTTTAATACAGTTCCTCATGTTGTGGTGACCCCCAACAATAAAATTATTTTTGTTGCTACTTCATAACTGTAATTTTGCTACTGAATCGTAATGTAAATATCTGATATGCAGGATGTATTTTCATTGTTACAAATTGAACATAATTAAAGCATAGTGATTAATCACAAAAACAATATGTAATTATATATGTGTTTTCCGATGGTCTTAGGCGACCCCTGTGAAAGGGTCGTTCGACGACCAGGGTATCACCCGGGCTTTGGAATTTTTAAGACTCCAGGTGATTACAATGGCAGACAATTTTAGGAACCACTGTTATAACAATACAAAAGATATTAATAGAAGTAGCTATTTGTGCATGGGGGATCAGGAGTGGGAGTCAAAGCTTTCACTGTAATATTTTTAATATGGTTTTGAACCATGTGAACTATTCAGAATTTTAATTAAATGTTTCTTTTTAGAAAACAAATTGTTGCTCCCACATGTTTATTTTTATTACTTAGCTCTTCCAGGGTTTAAAACGGCTGTTACCATTAACATTAAAAAAACTTTGTAATCATATGATGAAAAAAATTCAGACTCTCAAGTTTTTCCTATTTTGGCCACAAGTTATCCGATCATCCTACGTAAATGTAGTTAATGAGGTGATTTTGTGCATTACCTGTCTTTATATACCCAGCAAGAAAGTTTATCACGTGGTGTGGGTGGTTTTCCTTCAAAGTTGGTGATTTTTTCCCAAACATAGGTTCCATCTCTGGTTCGCAAATTAACAAAATAAAGCTTTTAAAAGAGGAGAATACCATTAATAGACAGGGCATTTGAAAACTGAATCCATATCTGAGGATTATATGATCTAAAATTAATAATATTACTTTTTCTTTTTAAAAGGTAAAAATTTTACCTGTGGAGTTAATGAAAATGAGACTGTTTTAGAAGCAAAAATGATATATAAAACATACTGAACTAGATCTTTTCCTGGCATTCTCTTGCCATATAGATATTAAGTATATAGTTAATTCTGTAGCAGAAAGATATGGAAGAAAAGCACAACCACTACATTTTCACTCTAAAATCTTATAATCATAAACACAATATTTTCTATATATCTTCTTTTTTAAATATATGTAAACTTGATCCTGGCTGGTGTGGCTCAATGGTTGAGTGTCGACCTATGAACCAGGAAGTCACGGTTAGATTCCCTGTCAGGGCACACTGCCTGAGTTGTGGGCTTGATCCCCAGTAGGGGGATTACATGAGGCAGCCAATCAATGATTCTCTCTCATCACTGATGTTTCTATCTCTCCCTCTCCCTTCCTCTCTCTGAAATCAATAAAAAAACAAACTTAAAATATTTGTAAACTTATGAGGTAAAATGGTACACTAAATATTACACATTTTGCTGCATGCCTGAATTGAAAGAAAATATTACTCGATTGCTGTATCCTTTGTCATCATATCCTCCAAAAACGTACAGCTTTCCATTAATGCAAGCACCACAACTTCCTGACATGGAGGTAGGGAGTTCTCCTTCCATGAGGTGCATTGTCCTGCAGCAAGAATAATATGAAATTTCAAAACTTTCCAGAAAAGCAAATTAAAATTCCCTTTGAACTCCAGGAGTCTTTTTAAAATGAAAATTGTCACTGACAATTACAATTAAAATAGAATGGTAGCCAATACTGTAAAGACTCTAAGAAGAGCCACTGTAAATCTTTTTCAGCTTCACATGTGTCACCAGAATTGGGAATTAATTAGCAGAACAAAGTCTTCAGAGACAGTCTTAGAATTGTGAGGAGTGGAAAGGACAAATAGTGGAGAAAGGAAGGGAGCAGAGGAAAGAAACAGCCAGAGAGAATAAAGCATTGAAAGAAAAGGAAAGGGAGAAATAAGTGGTGCAGTATGTTCTAAGTATGGTCTTAAATTCCCCTAAGTCTATGAAAACATTCATAACATATATGGTGAGTGCATGATACCGTATGCAGATAATGTTTTATTGAGTTGTACATGTGAAATCTATGATTTTATTAACCAATGTCACACCCCAATAAATTCAATTTTAAAAAGACTGGACATTCTGCAATTTAAAATTACTTACCACAACCCACTATCAATATCATAGGTCCAAATTTCATCATTAGGCAAATATACTTCATTGTCTTCAATAGACTAAAAACATAGAATACATGAATTATGCTTTTTAAATACATAGTAACAATTCAATAGTTCCTCAGGATGGGAAAACTGCAATTAAAACATTGTGAAACACAATATTTAAACAGACTCAAACATTTTTAATATAAATCAAGTTAGATCAAAAGAGAAAAGGAAAATACATTTTCTAAGAGAAAATGGGCAAACAAAGGTTTAAAATACAAAGTACATGAATTTCAAGAAAAAGACCAAGGACAATTAAACCTTAAAAAGGGATTTCAAGAAAGGGAAAACAGCAAAATAATAATATTCAGAGTAGAACTTCCAGGAAGAAAATAAATATCAAACAGAGCAATATGTTTTGTGTGAAGGGAAGGAATTAAGGAAGGACATTTTTATAAGGTGTAATTAAGAGCACTGTAAAGAAAAAGAAGGAAATCTTACCATTTTCGACAGCAGGAATGAACCTAGAGGGTATTGTGCTAAGTTAAATAAGTCAGACAGAGAAGGACAAATACCATATGATTCACTTATATGTAGAATCTAAAGAACAAAATAAATGAACAAACAAAATTGAAAAAGACTCACAGATACAATGAAGAGACTAATGGTTTCCAGAGGGGGTTGTTGGGAGATTGGGTGAAAACATTGAAGGGATTAAGAAGTACAAATTGGTAGTTACAAAATAGTCATGGGGATGTAAAGTACAACATAGAGAATATAGTCAGGAATATTGTAACTATGTATGGTGCCTGGTGGGTACTGGAAATAATGGATGCGGGACCCTTTTAAAGTATATGATTATCTAATCACTATGCTGTACACCTGAAACTAATACAAAATAACACTGAATATAACTGTAATTGAAAAATAAAATATTAAAAAGGTAACTATATCAGATACCTTGATTCACTGAACTTATTTTTGAGTGCCTACTATGTGCGAGGCATAGTGCTAGGTGGCTATTAAATATAGAATCTATGGCTCAATATAAATTTAACTAGTCCAAATGATAACTCTGAATAATCTCTAAAGAAGCTGATAATATAAACAGAAGAGTGCATTCTGACGTTTGTGATGAAAAGAGAAATAAGAATAGAGTAACAATCATTTCTATTAAGTAAAAAACTTAGGGGTTGAAACAAAGTCTTACATAAATCTGTCGTAATTTCTTAGAATAATTCAAAAATAACCAAATATAAGATAGCAGTTTAAGAATTTCTAATACTGCATGATGCATAAATTATTAGCATGCTAAGTAGATTTAGGTAAATTCTCATTGCTATGTTAGATTTTAAAAATAGTATCTTACCTACCAGCTATCTCCTCCCCCCTCCTCTCTCTCTCTTTCTCTCTCTCTCTCTCTCTCTCTCTCTCTCTCTCTCTCTCTCTCTCTTTCTCTCTCACTCACACACACACACACACACACACACACACACAAAGCAGAAAATCATTTTATTAATTCCAAGGCAACTTCCACTTATGTCTGAATGAGGAAGTCATACTTAATGGCTAAGTAAACAAATAATTTGAAAAAGGGGAGTTAGTTGTATGATTCTAACAGTGTCAGGCTCCAGTATCTTTGTGTGTATACCTATATAACCAAAATATTACAAAAATGGATTCTGTCACGACTCTGTTTAAGTCCCTTCAATACTTGCCTAGTGCTCTCAGGATAAGCTAAAAATCTTGAGTCTGTTCTATTTGGTACCTGCTGTCCCTCCAGTTCATCTTGTCTTTCACTTATTATGCTCTAGTCTTCTGTCAATTCCTGAACCTCTGCAAATTCCTGCTGCAATAGGGCTTCAATTATGCTCTTCTCTCTTCTTGGAATGCTTCCAGGAATTTTTCTGGCTAACTAACTCATTCTTTGGAAACAGCTTAAATGTCCCTCCTCTATTATCCCAGAATAAGGTTGAAGGATTAAGTGACCTATTAAATGCTCTCATACAGTCCTGTACTTGCCCTTCTAAGTCCTTTGTTTAGATCATACCCACCCACCCCCATCACCACCACCACCCCCATTAACCTATAAGTTTCATGAGTGCATGGACCATGTTTATGTTGTTATAATTTAGTGTCTAGAGCAGTGGTTCTCAACCTTCCTAATGCCGCGACCCTTTAATATAGTTCCTCATGTTGTGGTGACCCCCAACCATAAAATTATTTTCGTTGCTACTTCATAACTAATTTTGCTACTGTTATGAATCATAAGGTAAATATCTGATATGCAGGATGTATTTTCATTGTTACAAATTGAACATAATTAAAGCACAGTGATTAATCACAAAAACAATATGTAATTATACATGTGTTTTCTGATGGTCTTAGGCGACCCCTGTGAAAGGGTCGTTCGATCCCCCAAAGGGGTCGCAACCCACAGGTTGAGAACCGCTGGTCTAGAGCCTAGCACAGTGCCTGACACATAAAAAGCAAATGGAATATTTGTTGATTAAGTGAATGGGTAAAGTGAATAATACCTATTAAACTGATTGCACAGTCACCTCAGCCTGATTAAAAAGAAAAGTCCCCTTTTTTTAAAGGGGGTGGTACAAAAGCACAAAGGAAGTTCAGAATTGAAAAATTTGGACCTAGTTCCTTCTCACTTTTTCAGAAATTTCACTACAAAATTCTCTCTTCTTGTGGAGAAAAGGGATTCCTTGTGCACTGTTGGTGGGAATGCAGACTGGTGCAGCCACTGTGGAAAATAGTGTGGAGTTTCCTCAAAATATTAAAAATAGAACTGCCTTTTGACCCGGGGATCATACTTCTGGGAATATATCCTAAGAATCCCAAAATACCAATCAGAAAGAATATATGCACCCCTATGTTCATAGCAGCATTATTTATAATAGCCAAGATTTGGAAACAGCCCAAATGCTCATCTGTGGAGGAGTTGGGGGGAAAAGCTGTGGTACATTTACACAATGGGATACTATGTGGTTGTAAAAAAGAATGAACTCTTACTTTGTGCCACAGCATGGATGGACCTGGAGATTATTATGCTAAGCAAAATAAGCCAGGCAGAGAAAGACAAATATCATATGACCTCACTTATATGTGGAATCCAATGAACAAAATAAACGGAAAAAATAGAACTAGAGGCATGGATACACGGAACAGACTGACAGAGGTCAGAGGGGAGGGGATGGGGAGGATGGATGAAAGAATTAGCCAAAGAGCAAAACCCATGGACACAGACAGCAGTGTGGTAATGGTCAGAGGGAGGGGGTGCAGGGACTGGGTGGAGGTGGGCAAAGAAGGGGCAATGGGGGATATCTGTAATAGTGTCAAAAAAAAAAAAGAAAACAAAATTATCTGTTCTTTTCTACATCATCAAGTTTTCCTTCTCTACTAGATCATTCCAAACATGCCTTGATATCATTTTCTATAAATTAAAAACAAACAAACACCAACTCTCATAACTCTTTCTTCTATTTCTCTGCACCCTTCAAAGAAAAGCTTCCACGGTTAACTATGGTGGATGTTTCCATAGTTTCACCTCGCATTTTCTCATCACTTCAGATTAATCTGGCTACGGAGCCCATCACTCCACTAAAATTGCTCTTGTCAAGGTTTCACTAAAATAGAGACTTAACTGATTTATCCAGAAATATAGCCCAGAGAGATGGAGTATATGGAAAAGAAGTTAAGAGACATGGAGAAAAATTAAGTCTAATCAGAATTACATTAGGAAGTAACAGAATGAGGAAGAGGCAATATTTGAAGAGACAAGGCTGAGAGTTTAGCAAAATTGTTGAAAGTCATCAATCCTTGAAATATACGAAGTCCTACAAATCCATAACTAGACACATCATAGTAAAACTACAGATCATCGAAGAAAAAAATTATTTAAAATTACCAGTGATAAGCCCTGGCTGCTGTGGCTCAGTTGGTTGGAGCGTTGTTCAGTACACCGGAAGGTGTCGGGTTCCATTCCTGCTCTGGGCACATGCTCAGATTGCTGGTTCAATTCCCAGTCAAGGCACATATAGGAGACAACCAATCGATATTTCTCTCTCTCTTCTCTTCTCTCTCTCTCTCTCTCTCTCCCTCTCTCTCGCTCTCTCCCCCCGCCCCCCCCCCCCCGGCTCCTCCAACCCCAAACAATGAAAAACTTATACTCAGGTGAGGATTTATTTTAAAAAAAAATTGCCCTAGCCAATTTGGCTCAGTGTATAGAGCGTCAGCCTGCAGACTGAAGGGTCCCAGGTTATATTCTAATCAAGAGCACATACCTTGGTTGCAGGTTCCCTGGCCCTGGTCGGGGTGTGCGCAGGAGGCAACCAATTGATGTGTCTCTCTCACATTGATGTTTCTCTCTGTCTCTCCCTCTCCCTTCCATTCTCAAAAAAAAAAAAAAATCAATGGAAAAATATCCTTGGGTGAGGATTAACAAAAACAAACAAACAACAAAAGAATGATTGTTGTAGCTTGCCTTTTAATACTAAAAAAATAGAAACATTCAAATATTCATCAATAGTGGAATGAATAAATAAATTGCAGTAAATTCACATAATGGAGTATTTTACAGGACACACATCAAATGAATGAATTCAGTGATGATTTTCAAAATATTTAATAACTGGCCAGCACAGACACTGACCAACTGGAATGACACCAAATAGAGACAGGTTCAGCCATGCAATTACACACCAGCTAAATACAAGCAATTTGTGAATCCAAAAAAACATAACGTAGAAAAAGAGTTGTCATGAAGTAAAACACATGCTATGATTCCAAAACCAAAAAAAATAGTTTAGAAATAGATGCAGCCCTGGCCGGTTTGCCTCAGTGGATAGTGTCAGAATGTGGACTGGAGGGTCCCAGGTTCGAATATGGTCCAGGGCACATGCAGGGTTACAGTCTCAATCCCCAGTAGGGGGCGTGTGGGAGGTGGCTGATCAATGATTCTCTCTCATCATTGATGTATCTGTCTCTCTCTCCCTCTCCATTTCTCTCTGAAATCAATAAAAAAAATATATATATATATATATTTTTTTTTAAATATATTTTATTGATTTTTTACAGAAAGGAAGGGAGAGTGACAGAGAGTCAGAAACATCGATGAGAGAGAAACATCGATCAGCCGCCTCCTGCACATCCCCCACTGGGGATGTGCCCGCAACCCAGGTACATGCCCTTGACCGGAATCGAACCCGGGACCTTTCAATCCGCAGGCCGACGCTCTATCCACTGAGCCAAACCGGTTTCGGCAAAATATATATTTTTAAAAGAAATAGATGCATATAAAGAAAAGAGTGATTAACAATAAATCTAAGATAGTGCTACTCTCTTGGGGTGGAAGGAGCACGGTAATAAGTAAAGGATTAACAGGAATCTTCTAAGGTACTGGTTCTAGTCCATTTCTTAATCTGGAAGTTGAACATGTTTACCTTTAAATGGTACTCATTTTACACATTCTTTGGTACATACATTTCAAATTTTAAAATTAAGAAGAAAATAAGATCTTAAGAAATGAATATTAAGGAGCTCACAGAATCAGGGAGGCTGGAAAACCAGCCTCTGATCTATGTATGGAGGAGCAAGGTCTGAAACCATGCCAAAACACAGGTCTGGTGACCATCACCCTGAAGCCTGCAGCACCACCTTTTATGCCTGGGGCCTTGACCATCCTACAAACTCTACTGCTGGGTAAGAATCCTCTTCAGGTCCTGATTTTTATATCTTTACTCCTAAGTCCAAATCTAGCACAGATTCATCTAACAGAGTCCAAGCCACCTGTCCACAACCTAGCTGCAAGTGAGGTTGGGAAAGTGAATATCTGGCACTTAGGTTCTTTTAATTGGGCATCTATTATACCCAATTCTAGACTCTAGGGATACAACAGGGAACAAAATCCCCATCTTTACACAATTTATATCCTATGGGGGTAGTAGGAAGTAGTCAGACAACTGAAATAAATATCCTGAGAAAACTCACTCAGTGGGAGATACTACAGAAGGAGGAGGTTCAAATACTTCGTGTCTAAAAAGAATAAACATCTTCCATATGACATGGATGGCTTATGTGACCATCTATAAATATAAAAAGTGCAACTATTAGGTTAAATAGAACACACACTTAAGGCTTTTGCTAAACATCGCTTAATTTCTCCTCAAAAAGGTTAGACAAATTTATATTCCCATTATCAGTATATGAGTAATTCATTTCCTCATGCTATTTTCAAAAAATATTTTTAAGTCCTAGCCGGTTTGGCTCAATGGATAGAGTGTCAGCCTGTGGACTATAGGGTCCCGGGTTCAAGTCCAGTCAAGGGCCCAGGTTGCGGGCTCCATCCCCAGTGTGGGGCTTGCAGGAGGCAGCCAATCAATGATTCTCTTATCATTGATGTTTCTATCTCTCTCTCCCTTCCTTTCTGAAATCAATAAAAGTATATTAAAACAAACAAAATCTTTTTAATATTTGCAAATTGGAGAAAAATAATCTCATTGTTTATTTTCATTGTTTATTGGATTTCTTTGATTCACATTATATTTGTATTTATTCTTTTGTAAATTGTGAACATTGTTTATTTTTTCAATGGAGATATTAATCTTTATTTTCACTGGAACTTTACCTATTATATATGTTGCAAATACTTTCCCCAGTTTGTCATTTGCCTTCTCACTTTATAGTGAGAGTTACAGCATTAAAAAGTTACTGTTTAAAAAGCACAGTATACATATTTTTTAAGTTTGACCTACCAATATTTTTCTTTTATAGTTTTTCCCAATTCAGTTTTTCTTTTCCCAACTCAAGGTGTTTACAAGAGTCACATCTTTCTTTCTGGTTTTGTATAGCTTAATTTTTCTACATTTAACTCACCAATCTTAAAACTCTACTAGCATTTTCCTCCAGCTATTCCTGGACCATTTATTGAATAAGTGGTTATTTTTCCAGCATTGAAATGCTACCTTTTAAATACAAACTATCTGTATGCTTGGCTGCTCATGTAATTTCTTTTCCATCCCCTCATGCTCTCTCAACTTGCATCAAGACCACTGATTTAATTATTACAGTATTGTGATACATTTTAATAACTGCCACTGTAAGTCTCCCACTTTTATTCTTTTCAAATATTTCCTGAAATGACCCTTCTTGCCTTTAAATATATATTCAAAACAGAAATATGTATTTAAGCACATTTATGCAGATGTCTTCTGTAAGGAAAAGTTTATAGCAAAATGTATTAACATCAGTTGTACTGTGGAAATAATACCATTCATGTGATTAAGACTTAAGAGGAAAGCACATATCATCTGCAATCACGCTAAAACACTGCTTTTCTTCCAACATTTTGGAAAACTACTCACAATTTTTAAATGTCCCTAGAAGCACCACTAAAGTTTGTATGAATTTCAGTAATCTGGAAAGGATATGGAAGAACTAGAAAAAAGAACTGACATCAATTAAAATTTACCACTTACTTTTTTGGCATTGCCACTCTGACCTTTAGAGGTAGGGGTGTTCTCAGATACAATGTCCTTTAGAATATGTTTGACAATAGCATAATAAGTAACTTAGCCATTCAAAAGTCTTAGGATATAAAGAAATCTGAAACACCAATCAGAAAGAATGTATGCACCCCTATGTTCATAGCAGCACAATTTACAATAGCTAAAATCTGAAAACAGCCTGAGTGCCCATCCTATATAATAAAAGGGTAATATGCAAATCGACCAAACGGCAGAACGACTGGTTGCTATGATACACATTGACCACCAGTGGGCAGATGCTCAACGCAGGAGCTGCCCCCTGGTGATCAGTGTGCTCCCATAGGGGGCGCGCTGCTCAGCCAGAAGCCTTGAGCCGGGCTCACGGCTGGCGAGCACAGCGGCGATGGTGGGAGCCTCTCCCGCCTCTGTGGCAGCGCTGGATGTCTAACTGCCAGTCGGACTCCCCCAAGAGCGCACAGGCCTATCTGTGAGATGACACCCCCTCTCCAGTGCACAAAATTCGTGCACCAGGCCTCTAGTCAGTAGATAAGTGAATAAAAAAGCTGTGGTACATTTATACCATGGAATACTATGCAGCAGTAAAAAAGAAGAATCTCTTACCCTTTGAGACAGCATGGAGGCACCTGGACAGTATCATGCTAAGTGAGATAAGTCAGTCAGAGAAAGACAAGTATCCCATGATCTCACCCTTATGTGGAATCTAAGTAACAAAATAAACTGATGAAGGGAGTGGATCCAGAGACATGGAAGCATGGAACACAGTGTGGAATCTTGGAGGGAAGGTGGGGAGAGTGGGTGGGTGGGAGTTAATCAACCAAGGACCTTGTATGCATATATGCATGGCCCATGGACACTGACAATGGGGTGGTGAGGGCCTGGGGCGGGGGGCTGGGGCGGGCTGGAGGGGGCCAATGCGGGAAAAAGGTGACGTGTAATACTTTCAATAATAAAGAATTACTTTTTTAAAGTTTTAGGATATATGTTTGTCAATTTAAACAAATAGGGAAAATTGTGATTGGAACATAACAATCTGGAATCATCTGATCATTACTCTTAACTATTGACTACTGGTTTGGATTACCTTCAGATTCCAGGGCCTTTCAGCTATCTTCTGTTCAGAAGGATCTGAATAAGACAATTGTTGGAAGAATACTTTTTCTCATGTTGTGTCATGTCTTCTTTTATGCCTCTCACTCTCCCTTTCCTTTCACTTATGCCTTAGACATATTTTAACTGCTGATAATCACTGACATTTAAAAAGTAGTAGTCTCAGTCTAAATCTGTGTAGTACTTTCCAGGTTGGTTCTTACAGCACACTATTCATTGAATCAATAAGTAGTATGAAAAGATTTTTAATTCACTGACTGCCACCTAAAGACCTGGCATCTTATTAATTATACAATTTTCAAGATTAAAATGAGATACAAAAAATTCAGACATTTATGGGCCAAAAAGAAATCTATACTGTCACTAGATATCATATTAAAAACTACTATTTTAAGTGAAAAAATTTTCACTTAACTTTTACAATATTAAGAATCAAAATAGTAGATGAAGGTTGACACCTCTACATCAAAATATTTCTTTGCATAAAACCATCATTATGTCTAGACTACTTTTCTGTCCAGAACAAATGGCGGAAATATCAGACATTAATAAAGCACAGTAACCTAATGTATGTTCACTTATCACAGAAAAAAAATAGGCTTTGGAAATCCAATATATCTAGTTGGAATCTGCTACTGTTGAGGTCAATGGCCATTCAAGTTATTCATTCTCATTGACTCACTGTTCTTATTTTTAAAATAGAATATTTCTTACCTTACAAGATATAGTAAGGATTACATATGATTAGAGATAAGAGAGTTTCTAGCACATACCAGGTATAGTAGGCACTCAAAGGTTACTTCTAATTTTCCTGATACTGCACCAACTTAAAAACAAACACACAAACAAAACAACAAAACCAACTTAAATTTGAGAATCATTTAACATCGATAGTATGTACTTTATTTCAGTGGATGATGCAGTCATGTTACATCTGTCACAGTAGTATCAAGACAGTCAGAAAATGTAGGTTCTACCTCCAAATGGCTGGCCTTTTTTTTTTTTTAAATCTATAAACTACAGGGCTGGTATATATTCTTGAACTATTTCCAGCTATAGAATCCTTGATTCTATAATCCAGTGATTATAGAAACAAAACAAATACAAACTTCCATGACAGTAAGAAATTTTAATAATATTCTCTAGTATATTGTTCCTAATATGAGTGACTCTACCTTGAGATTTGAAAACAAAAATCGTAATTATCCATCTGGCAACAGCGACATTTCCAAGTAAATCTGGAAATGAGTGTACCAAGTGACCCAGCATTCCATTCCTTGGTATGTATGCCGAGCGTACACGCTCTTGGTAAAGAAATGCCACTAAAAACTGCTTCGAAATATTTAAATGATTCGGTGATTTCGATATTTTATGTCCAATTGCGCCATGGCGAAAAGAAATATCTACAAAATAATACAACAGGGCGTCCTCTGCGCACTTTTAAATCTCCGCAAGCATTTAAGGATCATTAATCGCGCGGGCACTGATTTAGTGTCGGGCAAACCGGCTGCGGGGAGAGCGGGGCGGGGGACGGAGCTGGCGGCGCCGGAACGGGGGCTGGAGGCCATCGGAGCGGGAGCC